CTATATGGTGTATTTTGCACTGAAATTCATTCCGTGCTACAAATGACTAATGAACATTACCAAACAGCCTCCAACAGTATTTTACCCTTCCTCCTTCCTGGACCAACATTTCGACTTTCAAGTTTTACCTACTGAAAATAGGCATATATTGTGCGTCAAAGAATGATTCCTGCCTTGACGGCATGGCGAAATAAATATTCGTGGGCAAGTGAACAGCCTGAATATGCATGGTAGTGTTTCTATATTCATAATCGGGTGCAGTTTATCGTTTATCTAAGCGGGTCTGGTGCCGTCAAACAGTTTAATGATCAAGAATGTGGAAATAAATAATTCAGATCGCAAGTAGTTTGGAATAAAAAAGCGACAGTCGACCCTGTAACAAAAACACAATGCAGCACAAAAATGGTGTAGTTACATATGAGGCAAAGCGGTCAGTCTGTTGGGCAATAAGCCGTAAAGCATGAAGCAACAAGCTGCAGCACACATACACAACGTCGGTCGATAAAGCAGGTGATTCCTACAACGTAGCTGTGAAAATGATCTCCATTTTGATGCTATCATCCAGGAGTGCTTAATTTTATTAAATCAGAAGTGACAGCTACTTTGAAGGGAGTGCGTGTAGCATCTTGTTTCTTTCACTCTGAATGATACTCATTTATGAACCTCGGAAGGGAGAAAAGCGAGTAACCCGATCGAGGCTTAGACTTGTGTTGGAACCTCTCGGTTCTCAGTTCGACCCTCCAGCGATTTAATAATTACAGCAATACAAGGTAGCCTCTGTCGGTCTGAATATGACTAAAAGCCCTGCTGCAGCCACTGACCCCTTGCCACCGTCGTCGATGATGGAGGTCTGGTGAATCTAGGCTTGAAAGCATTCCTGTGATGCGATCTGGTTCTCCAAGCTTCCTTACAGCTTAGGGCAGCAACAATTCCATCTATTGTTTAGCAAGGTAATATGCCGGATGATCACATTGTTCTCTACTTCAAGCAGATTCGTTGGCCGCTCCCACCGCTGTACCGGGACAAACTTTGTTTTAAACCAGGCCTACCTTGTTGTGATACTGCATTAGCTGTACAATGACCCGAATGTCGGCCGAATAGTTCTTCAGCGAAATGACCCTCATGATGTTGGCGGCGTCCTCAGCGTCCGGGTCGGGCGAATACTTGTTAGCGAGGATGAGACAAGCGTCCGCCCGATGCACCTACAGAAACAAATGGATCAGGACGTTCACCGAATAAGAACTAAAATCGTCTTCGCTTCCTCGACGAAGAGGCTAGTAGATTTACCTTGGCACGCGACAGATCGATCGAATCCATAACCGTACCCTGGTAGAACTCTACCTTTGTGAAATGGCGCTTGAACAAGCCCTCCAGTTCGAGATCAGGGGGAACTCTTAAATACGCTACTATAATGCTGAGCGTTTCGCCGTGCTCGACGACGTCGCACGCTACCTGTGTAGGAATATCACCTCGACGTCCACGTCGTCTCGGTCCTCGTGCAGGAAGTCCTGTAGGAAGTGGCTGACTGATTCGTAAGTGATGTAACCGCACACAACGATGTGCCTAAACCGTTCGAGTACTTAATACTCAGCACTCGCTAGGTCGGTACTCTCTCGAGGTACTTTTTTCCGTTTTCGGCCTTGTACTCTCCGCCGTACTTCTGCCGTGAGCCGATGAGGTCAGCGATTTCCGGCACGTAGCTGGCAAACATCGCCTATAGTTGCAGGTTAGCG